GAAGGATACATGGCCACCACAGTTATGCCTCTCTACCCTTCTCATGTAGCCGACTGCTTTGAACAAATACCCGTGGCGAGGGGAGTCAGCATGCTCCACTCTGCAGAAGCAGATGCAATTGGACACGGTGGGGATGGTCACTGAAAGACAAAAGCTTCCCCGTGCACAAAAGGTGCTGGGAACTTGCCTGTTCCTCACAGAGGGTGCTGAACAGCATCATCCCCACTCCTGCCTCCAAGATCCATGCTTGATCTGAGCCCATGGGACCAAGAAGTGATGATAATGGGAAGGGCCACGGACCCCACTTCCCAGATCACTGACAGAATTAAGTGGGAGTTTAACCCACACACACAAAACCCCGCCTTCTGCTTGCTCTCGAGGCTCCAATGCTAGAGGCAGGGCCAAAAAAAAAAAAAAAAAAAAAAAAAGCTCTTCTGAGGCCACCACTCTCCCACTGCCACCCCAGGGAGCCTTTTGTTGCCAGCATCGAGGCCTGGACAAGAGCGCCCGCATCTGACTCATTGAGAAAAGGATTAGAAAGAGGAATCTCCTTCCCAGCCTAACCCCTGGAGAAAAGATGCTTTTAATGAAAGCCTTCAGATGGCATTCAGGGTCTCAGCACTGGGACTCCGAGGGGATGGGAAGAGGTTAGGTTAGCATTCAAAGGCCTTTTTGATTGCTAAGCAGTCTAAGCCTAGCGTTGAGCCAGAGCCCCCAGATGATAAAAGTGGCCCTAAACGAAGCTTGGCATATCCAATGCGGCTGTGAGGGGTGAAAGAAGGGGGAGCAGCCAGTGAATGAGGATGAACCCCAGGAAGCTACCTTGCTCTGATGGCGAGGATTTTCCAGCTGGCCTTGGGAAGCCAGTGCCCAGGCGGCACACGTCATGCTGCTGTCCGTGCTCTTTTCCGTTTGAACACAGCTTCCCTAAGGCTTAAAGCCGCCAGTAAATGAAAAGGAAGAAAAAACCTTTTGTGTGTCAAGGCAGGCTTGGGAAAAAAAAAGAGAGTGCGAGAGACAACACGTGGGTGGTCTGCACAGGAGACTTTTGACTTTGTTTTTTGGCTATTTTGTTCCTTGGCAGAACGAGTTCCTGGGGCTTCTCGACAGAGGGTAAGGCCAGATCACAGGATCATCTCCAGCCCACCCAGGGGCCAAAGTTCAGCTCACAGCAGACATGCAATTCTGGAGCCGTGGAGGCTGCTTCAAAGTGTAGAGAAGTCAGGAGAAATTAAAGTCAGAAATGGTCTGTGCCGGGGGCACAGCAATGGCAGGTGAAGGGGTCTCCCAGATTCCTGACCTCTGCCCCCATCCCTCCAACACACACCCCCTGGTTTGTGCCACCAAGGTAAGGCAACACTCTCTAGGAACAAAGGAAGTCTATTAAATAAAGGCTCATAAGCAGGAGCCTGGAGCACTGGCAAGGCACTTGCTTTCACTGGTAGTGCCCCTGGTCCCTCCACTCTCCAGGGACAGAGGGCCAGGAAGCTGTACAGACCAGCTGTGCTCAGGTAATCCCTGGCCATCCCAGACTCTAGTAAAAATCAGGACTTCTGAAAAACAACCATGTTCTGATCCAAGCTGTACATACGGGACAAGAGTGGAAGCATGAGAAGGCAGGCCCGGCCCTTACCTCCAGAAGGGCAGATAAATGCTTGTGCTGCAGCTGTGCTTATGAAATACAAACAAATGATTGGTCTTTAGAGAGCAGAGCTAAAACACCAGTTATATAAAAATAAATGTAATGAGGTTAGCGGCCTCAGCCTAATCCCTCACAGGATGTGCACTCAAGATTATAAAACCAGCAATCCAGCCCTATTCAGTGCGCTGGATACAAACACAATAGGCAATGCTACAAAAAAAAAATGTTGGCAGAGCCCAGGGGACTCCTGCCTCCCTGATGCCTGGCACAAATTCAAAGCCATGGCTCCTTCAGGAGCAGTGTTTATATTTTGCAGCACGCTTTTATCACTGTTTGTGAAAATGCCATTTAAAGCATGAGGCGAAAGGTTAATTTGAAGCAGCGGGCTTTTATGATGTGAAACGCTGAGGAATTATGTGAGTTTGTGGAATCCAGAACCTCAGAACACTGCATTTTATTCCCCTCCCAAACAAAGGAATTGTTACCCACCCATACCCTACCTTTCCCCACCCAATCTGGGGTGCTGAGAGCAAACCAGAAAAACATCTGGAGTGGTGTGGAAATCAAAGCGCTTCTCCACCCCAATGTGTGCTGTGCCAGACAATAAGCTCAAGGGTTTGTTTTGGTGAATGAATTTGTCCTTCAGGGTTTATTTACTGTTACAGGGGTCGGTGGGTTTCTCACTTGGAGCTGGTTGAGGCAGCGCTGGTACAAGAATCCCTGATGTCCCATGGGGTGTAACACAGAGGCCCTGGCTAGGACCCCTGCTTTCAATTCTCATTAGACTGAAGAGTATACTTCTGCTTGAACTTGACCTGCAGTGACCCTTAACATGGAAGAGCCAGTGACCGAGTGTTTCAAGATGTTTGTCCGAAATATGAAAGGCTGACTGGTTCCTTTGCAGTCAGCCCCTCACCGTCCCCACCCCCAACCCTCCCTTTTTTTTTAAGTCTCTGCAGGGAAATGTTCAGCTCATTCAAGCCTTACTTTAGCCAAGGAGCTGCAGGAAAATCTGACTTGGGTGAGGTCAATCACCACTGCACTAGAGGCCACAGCCTGCCAGAAATCTGTGCCTGGCCTTTGAAAGGATGGTGTAGTTGTGGTGAAGGCTATGAATGTGCTTTCACGTGTCCCTGCCAGGCTCCAACACCAATAAGAATAAGCAGCGGCTGGGAATGAACAATTCGGTGAATGAAAGTGTATAAAAGTGTGAGCATGAATTGTTAAAAGGGAGTGAGACAACCAAGTCTCACCCTAGAACATGCAGGTGAGGCAAGTGACACCAGTCCTGGGGTCCCATAGCAGAGAACATACTGAAGGTAACTCGGGAAGGGCTCCTCTCTGTGATCCCATCCCTGTGCCAAGAGCATCTTAGTTTTAAAGTCATTTTTCCACAAGACTGTGACAGGCCTCTGGCACGTTTAACAAAGAAAAAAGCAGAATGTCACAGGAGCAACACAGCCTCATTAACCAGCCCCAACAGCCAGGCAGCATTGGGTTGGGGGAACACAAGCTGGTCAACACATGGACAAGGCAGCAGGCACAGTTCCCCAAACAGTCCCAGTGCATAGGAGACACGGAGGGAGCCAGGTTAGGCAAATTGGTGGCTGACTTGCCACACCAGATTTCTTCTCCCCTCAACTTCAAATCATTCTCAAAAAACAAATTCTTCCAGTCTTAAAGCGCCCAAATTAAAACAGGCCCACTGCAAAAACTAGATCAATTATCTCCAGCAGGTGGGTTCATCTGAAAATTCACTCGAGATAAATTTAGACTACAGGCTTCTGCATATCAGGTTTACTCAACTGAATCCAAAGCAAAATGCAGACACTCCATCAGCAAAAGCTCTGGCTTGCTAGGATGGACAACACAGCCCCACAAAGGGCTTGTATTATCTTCTACCACCCTCCTTGTAGCAGGCAATTCCTGCATTTGCAGAATACAGTTACAGTTAACACTGTCGACTGGAGCCCACCCTCACTGACTGCCAAGATGAGATCCAGGCGCGCAAACAGATTGTTTGTTGAATGTGAGGTGCCCAAATACATCTTGGAGCTCAACTCCAGCACCATAGTCTGACCTTTGTGCCATGCCAATGATTGGCAAGTTAGCAGCACGTGACAGCAAGCAAGCAAGGAGCCAACGATGCATAAGGTGACAGATGAGCTGTGGCAGAGCCACTGTGCCCTTTTCCCGCTGCCTCACTATTGGGTTAGTGCAGCATGCCAAGCCGAGTGGAAACAGCAAGATTCAAGAGAAGCCACAAGAGGAAAGAAAAAAAAGAAAGCACAGCCAAGCTAACAGAATCCAGACGCAACACAGTAAGCCCCAGCAGGACCAAAGCCAACATGTACAAAGGATTCCTCTACCTCTTCTGGGCACAATCATGAGGAATACGGGTGTCTCCTGTTTATGGATAAGGGTGTCTCCTATTTATGGAATCACACAAAGTCCAAGTGGACATGTCCCATACGGTCATTTTGCTTGCATCTGCAGAGACTGCCAGGCTCCAGGGAACATCCATTCTCCTCCCTCATCAGCTTCTATTATCCCAGTGCAAATCATGCTTTACACTTCTTGTTTAAATTCTTAAAACCCTTTGGCTAGGAGGATTTCTCCAGGTAGCTTTGTACTCCGTTTCAATGAGGGCACATTCTAAGCTAAGCTAATGCTCAATGCTAACTCTTACCTAGAAGAGAAACTAAGCTGCTATTTGATCCCACTGGGTCAGGCTCTTAGCTGTTCCACTAAGCATTCCCTATATCCTGAGCAAGCACTTACAGAAATGGTCTGACATACTAACTTCTTCCCTGCTTTATGGACATCACTGAACATACATTCCAAAGCCAGCAACCCAGGCAGTGCTAAGCATGGTTTCCTTCCCCCTGATAGGTCCAGTGTGAATGTGGTAAAATGCTCCTTGCCCATCTAACTAAATAAGACTGTGGTCTGGAGTACAGTAGAAAGGGGTGTGCAGTGGCACAGCCCATTGAATGGATAAGGACCATTAGTCAGCTCACAAGGCAGCTTGCACTTCACTTCCCATCACTGATCCCTCACCATCCCTAATGGATGGGATGAAGGAGAGTTTCCACATGTGCCATGCACTAGCACAGCCCCAGTCAAAATATATGCCTAGGAACTCAGCACGTCATCCCTAGTGTCTAGCACAACAGTGAAATGTGCCCTCTTGTGGTAAAGTGAAGACATGCCCTAGCCTGGGCCCAGAAACACTATAAATAATGTGGGTGGGGAACAAAAAGGGTGTGCACCTTTCAGTCCGATAAAAGGCTTTGGAAGAACACAGAGGGAAGACAGACAGTAGCAAGCTGGGGAGGCGAGGAAGAGGAGGACTCACACGTGATGAAGTAGTCCTGCTGCCTCTTGAACTCAAGGCCCATGTAATTAGGGCTGAACTCCTGGAACTTGATTGTGAAACGGATCTCATGATCAGGCCGGTTGCAGGTTACCAGCACATTGGGATCCATGACAGTGCTGCAGGACTCTGCCTGCTCTCGCTTCACCAAGTAGAGCTTGTAGTATTCGTAAGGCCTGGATGGCTCCGCTTTGGGACAGATAATGTCCAGTTTGTCCCCAATCTCTGGGTAGATGACCAGCCCTTTCCCAGTCATGAACCTAGAGGGAGAGGAGAGAAAAAAGGAAAAGGTTAGTCACATGCCCCATTTGGTTGCTGGTCAGAGCTACTGTTTCTATACTTGACAGGAAAGGGAATGGTACAACAAGGCAGTGACAATTTCTGCTTGCCTAGTACAATGTTCAAGTTTCATCCCGAGATTAATTCTACCTTCTCTATCCCCTTCCCTCCTGGAAGAAAACCTAAAAGACACCCCAAGTAGAAGTCCCACTATTTTCACTCTACAAAATTTACATTCTCAGACAAAAGCCTTGCCACCTATGACAAATGCCTGCAGAAATGGCCACATTAAGATGACTCTCCTACATCACACCTCTGTGCCCACCACACATGCCAGGACAGGACAGGTTTATGCCAGGTTCATTTTTAAACAGTGACTCAGGTGATGGTGCTTCAGGAAGTTTGGAGTGAGGAGAATGAAGCCCCACCCAACTGCACTCCCTTACCACCCCCTCAAACCAGAAATGCCACAACAGGGCCAACAGTGCAGTTAGCCCAAGAGAAAACTAGATCTGGCTGCTGCTGGAACCACTTTCTCTCTTCATGGACAAGAGCACTGAAAATTTTGCTCTTTGCCCCACATAAGAGAATGGAAAACAAGGATCCTGCTGGATGAAGGAAATGTGGTCTTGTTCAGTCTTCCAGGTCTGAACACCTGCCCTGATGACATTAAACTTTATTTGGAAATGGCAGATTGTGAGGGTCAGGGGAGAGGTCAAAAGTATTGAAGAGTGGTGAAAAAATCTTTTCTAACCCCAACTACCCACAGGATTTTTTTCATTCCTGAATGGAAGAGAGAATAAGAGCTATCTATAAAGGTTTCTTCTGCTAACATAAGATTTGCCACAGAGCCCTTAGTTGGGCAGTATGCTCAAGGGACATGGGAGGACTGGATGGAGAACATCAGAGTCTAGTAAGAGCTCTTTGGGGCTGGAAGGCAGGACATCAGAGAAAGACAGTAATGTGATCATAATCAATGCCATAGCTCTGCTATTACAGGGCAATTACTCCTGCTGCAATTTAAATTATGTGAATTAAAGGACTGGGGCAGCAAGGAGGGGAGGGGCAGAACATGTATTTAGTGCAAAGAGTATGATCTGTTCTTGATGGAAGATAACTTAAGAACAGATGTTAATGCAAAATTATCTCAGCTGCAACTCCCTTGATGTAATCTGGGCACTCCAAGAACAGGAGGGTATGAGTACTAGTGAAAGGACCCAGATGGGATGCACCTCCATCTGTGTCCTCCCCTCCTCCTCACTCCTTCCCCAGATGTCATCCAGTCCTTCCCCAGCCCACTTTCCTGCTAATGGAAGATGTCCCTATAGGGACACACCTAGTAGATGCTGTTCTACCCTCCTCCACCCCAAAAATCAATGGGATCAGGCCAGGACTACAGGCATTGAAGAAACAAGATCCAGCATACAAGATCAACCTGCTCTGTGGCTCTAATACAAGTCCTAGCAAGAAGCCAAGGGGCTGGAGTCAGAGCCTGAGCAGCCAGGGATTCTAGCCTCCCATCGCGTGAGCTTCAGAGACAATTAATTTACAGGTTGAGCTTAAAGTCAGGCAGGAAAGGCGGAGCCCAAGCCCACACACTCAGGCACACTTGGCAGGGACTCCCAAAGTTCTGCCTGAGCTATATGGGAAGAGATGTTCAGATCAGCCCTGATCTCCACCTGTTTTCTAGCCTACTGCTTCAGAGATGGGGGCAGCCCTGGCTTTCACTGTCCTTGCCTTTCCCCTCATTCTTCCACTAGTACAATTAATGAGGTGAGGCTCAGGGCAGCAGTGAAATTACTGACAGAGGCTGCTGTCTGCTACAGAAAGGGGGTTCAGGTATGCTGCCTGCCCAAGTCCTTTCCAGCAGCCTGGAGCTCAGTGGCAGCTGTGACTCCACCCAGACAGAGTGCTCCCAAAAATGTGTTCCCTGGCACAACAGGGGCACCTGTCAGGTTCATAAGAAATCATCCCTCCCACTAAGGGCTCAGATGCAGGAATGGAGGGGCGTGGTGGGGAAGGTTCTCACCCATCTTTGATTCCAATACCAACAACATATCTCAATTCAGGAGCTGTAACTTTACCATGCAAGTTTGGGGGGAGGGGAAGTAATTAAGTTTCATAAATGCCAAGATCCTTTGAACAAAGATGCACGGTATGCTCACAGAAGAACAGAAAACTTAACCCCATGTGACTGAGTTTTGTGGCTGTAAAGAGGGAGTGATGGGAATAATGGATGGCGTCAAAATTAATCTATTCTGCTAGTTTCCAGCAGACCACAGAGTATCAAACAAATGGTAGACCCCTGCCCCAGCTGGCTAGGGAGCCCGGCATGTTAGAAGATCGGCCCCTTAGTGCTTACATGTAGGTCACTTGGCTGCTAGTCAGGATCATGTTTCCAAAGTATTGCAAGTGATCAAGTCTTCCCCACCCATCACCTGAGCTCTGAGGCAATCCTATGTGTAGGATTGCATCTTGCCGAAAGAAGCCCCCCTCCTTTCCCTAACTCCCCAACTCCACCCTGTGACAGGCCACAGACATGCACGCTAGGCCCACACAAGCAAACACTTGCATACTCACTCTCAGGTTCCACCCCCAGAGGCAGCAAGATCTAACATCCCTCTCTCCAACCCTGGACTGACTCAAGACATTTCTGGCAAGAACTTCAAGCAACTGAATTCCCTCCTTCAGCCTCCACTGTCTCCCTCCTGCCCAAAAGAGTCCAAGCAGGAAGCCACAGACAAAGCACAGGCAGATGTAGTGAGATTTCCTGGGCAGAGCCCAAATCCTTGGGCTACTCATTTTCCATCTCAGTAAGAAGGAACTCCAGCATGGCTACTTGGGCCAAAGGGTCCTTGCAGGGATGTAAAGCCCTGAACATCCCACCTATCCACCAAATGACACCATCCAGCAACCACAGAGCTGTGGCATAATGGTGTTTGTGGTCGCACGAGATTAAAGTGATTTTTAGACATTAGAGACATTAAGAAAAAAATTAAAAGATATCTAAAATAGGCCAGATGAGGGACTGTGTGAGAATATGCAAACAACCTGAATACATTTGTAATTCTTTTTCATTAAACCTCAGCTCTGAATATCTTGGGTTTACTACATTTGTTTGGGGGATAATCAGAATGCCCCTGCAATGTATTATACCGTAAATTAATTAGGCATATGCTCAACTTGAATTCATCTTAATTCCGGCTTTTTTCTGGGAACTGGGAACATTCCTCAATTTGTTTTTTTAAATGTTCATGTATGAAATTATTAACAATTAAACCGTGTGATGCTTCTCATTATTTGTCAAGCCTGAAAACATAAAGCTCTCAGAGTTCAGGACCAGATTCACCAGTTTGCTCTGGCTGGTTTTATTCCTTCTCTCTCACTCAAGCTGTACAAATCAGCCAAAACATACCTGCCAGGAAAATAGAGTTTATATCTGTGCATCACCAGAACACTAAACAGATGAAATATCTACACCAGTTTCAATTAACTTCTTGCCTCCCACAGTGGGTGTGCATGTGCTTCAGTTGTTTTTTGTCTTTTTTGTCCTTCACAATCCCCACACCTTTTTTCTCATTTTCTCCCTGTGTTCCTTGAAGACAATTCTGGTGCAACATGTACCTTTTTAAGTTAAATGCTTAGGAATAATGGTGATTATTGACTTTCTCTGTAACTCAGCTATCTGTTAAGAGCCTGAGAAGATTCTGAAGCACTGCAAACTTTCAATGGCCACCACCTTCCACTATTCTCTTAAATACAGAAACAATTTATAGGCTACCATTTACTAAGATGCTTTTTTCAAAATGGCCACCCATTCCCACTGTTCCCCAGAAGGAGTGAAACCAAGCTGATTTCAAGGAAGATGGTGACCCTCATGCGGTCATGGAGTGTGTTGAAGGTTAACATGAATTGTAATGGCCATCTTTGTCACAAGTGGCTTTTGGTCTCCATCCAATGAGAATAAGGAGTGGTAACCATTGTGCAAGAGCTCTGCTCTTCCTGGAATGCCCTGTAAAATTCAGCTGCCTTTGCTAAAGAACACTTCAGCTGCAAAAAAAAAAAGAAAGAAAGAAAGGAGCAAGAATGATCATATAGATCCCATGTTAGTGAGCTTCAAGTACAAGAAGTCTGAAGAGTCTCTGTTCTCCACAAAAGATCATTCAGGGCCAAAAAAGGCCCTTACTCAAGGTGACAAATTTCTTCAAAGACTTTTTTTTTTTTTTTTTTTTTTTTTAATTAAAATGCAACTGAAAGGACCCAACAGCTCCACTTTCAATAGCAAGAAAATTCATTGTACCCTGTACGTACATGCAGTAATTTTGGGAAGGACCTGCTGTATTCTTTATGCATAACAAAGAGGTCAAACCTTCTTTAAAGCAAAAACCCTCAATTCAGCCTTAACTGTGGCACTATGACAGGCACCTGCATAATAAAGCACTTTGGGATGCAGGTTGAGAGACACAATGTACCAGACAAGTTAAATTAAGATATGGCAGATAGGCAAAGCACTGTAAAGGAGGATGGCAATGAGAGTGCAGTTCAGCTGCTTGAAGTGATAACCTACTTATCCCATCCAGGACCTGCTTCAGACCACACTGGCAAGTACGGAGCAGCCCTGGGAGCGTGACTGACCCACCTTGCAGCTTCATGGAGAGTCAGAGATATGGACTCTGACCTACAGGAGTCTCCTCCCCACATGGTTGCACTCCATTATGCCACTGGGACTGCAAGGGGTGAGGGGGGGAGAGGATGAGGATGAGGAGCACGGAAAGCCCGAGGCTGCCCTCTAGCCGCCTCTCCTTGCTGGTGCACAGTGGTGCCATCGGCCCCCAGGGGAAGTTGCATGTTTCAGGCCAGGCAGGCAGGGAACAGCACAAATTTGGGAATTTTTCTTTTTTGTAAATCCAGTTTCTCAAAAAAGCTTCAGTTTCTAACTGGCTGGCGTTTTGAATCCACACACACTCTCTTCCATCAGATG